CCCTCTAGACGGCCTGACAAACTATGAGTTGAACACCTTCCTATCAAATTCGATTAGTAGATTCTTTGTTTCTGAACAACGTACAAAAATGTGATTTTTTTTTGTTTTTCAACCCCTTTTCTAAAAAAATCATTATCTCCGTTAATACTCGTTGTACATGGATTTTGGAAACAGGAAACGAATCTACTAATCGAATTTGATAGGATGGTAGTGATCTCATAGTTTGTCAGGCCGTCTAAGGGGGTAGAAAATGGGTTGAAAAACAAAAAAAATCAATATCTCCGTTAATATCCGTTGTACATGGATTTTGAAGGCGGCAAACGAATCTACTAATCGAATTTGATAGGAAGGTGGTGAACTCATAGTTTGTCAGGCCGTCTAAGGGGGTAGAAAAGGGGTTGAAAAACAAAAAAAATCATTATCAAATACAAACAGTAGATTCGTTTGCCTCCTTCAAAATCCATGTACAACAAATATTAACGAAGATATCGTTTTTTTTTTGTTTTTCAACCCCTTTTCTACCCCCTTAGACGGCCTGACAAACTATGAGATCACTACCATCCTATCAAATTCGATTAGTAGATTCGTTTCCTGTTTCCAAAATCCATGTACAACGAGTATTAACGGAGATAATGATTTTTTTAGAAAAGGGGTTGAAAAACAAAAAAAAATCATTATCAAATACAAACAGATTCGTTTGCCGCCTTCAAAATCCATGTACAACGAATATTAACGAAGATATCGTTTTTTTTTTGTTTTTCAACCCCTTTTCTACCCCCTTTGACGGCCTGACAAACTATGAGCCCTCCACCTTTCTATTAAATTCGATTAGCAGATTCGTTTGCTTGCTTCAAAATCCATGTACAACGGATATTAACGGAGATATTGATTTTATTTGTTTTTCAACCCCGTTTCTACCCCCTCTAGACGGCCTGACAAACTATGAGTTCAACACCTTCCTATCAAATTCGATTAGTAGATTCGTTTGCTGCCTTCAAAATCCGTGTACAACGGATATTATCGGAGATATTGATTTTTTTTGTTTTTCAACCCCTTTTCTACCCCCTTTGACGGCCTGACAAACTATGAGTATTAGTAGATTCGTATTCCGCCTTCAAAATCCATGTACAACGAATATTAACGGAGATATCTATTTTCTTTGTTTTTCAACCCCTTTTCTACCCCTCTAGACGGCCTGACAAACTATGAGTTGAACACCTTCCTATCAAATTCGATTAGTAGATTCTTTGTTTCTGAACAACGTTCAAAAATGTGTTTTTCATGTGAACTTTGAACCCTTCTCACGGACAAACGGTACATTTTGGCACATAAATAAATTGGATCCAATCAACTTATTTTAACCCCTTATACACGTGGTAGCTCTGTGTCCCAGCAATTTTGGGACACCCTGTATCTAAAATATTTTCGACAATGCAGTGTTGCCGCTTCTACTAGAAAGTAGCAGCAACATTGATATTTCAAATGGAACATCCTGTATTGCATTACATTGTTAGGTTCTCCCTGAAGAGCTGATTTCATCGTTTCATCACACTTGGGGTCTATCGAAAATGATCACAAAGATATAGGGTGTTCAAAATCGAGATTTTTCAACTTTGTAATTTTTTCGTGTCAAAACTATTCATTATCGGCTAAAACGGCTCACATATTCCTATCTCAACTTTCGATTTACTATTTATTGATATTTAATTGGAACAGATTCAGAACAAGATTCAGAATTCTGATCACCCTGATTCTGATTCTTGATATAAAGATAGTGTGAGCTCTACAAACCCTGTATATCCCTGTATATCAAAAATATATAAATTGTTGATGGCTTTTGTTTTACTATAGTTCCGAAAAATGAGCGCATAACACCGTCTCAGAAAAAACTGCAAGTCCTTTTATCTTCCATTCAACTTCGCGGTTACGTACATTACTAAACAACCATTAAATTTGCAATTTTTCAAAATCAAATCATGGAATTAGACTGTCAGATATTTGATTATTTCAAAAGAATGATAAAGATGTCTGCAAAAAGATGCCTGCAATGCAGGTGTCACTCCTGTTGAAAACTAACTTCAAATTTTATTTCTGATTTTGATATAATGTAATATCTTCTCAATATGGGTTCGACCTTATGGTATTATACATGGGAAAAATATTACACAGGGTGTCCGCTAAAAGGAGGTCAATCCATTAACCACATATTCCTTGAAAAAAAAACAATATGAGTTTCTAAATACCATTTTTCATTTTAGCCCTTCATATTCGATATACAGGGTGTCAAAGTTGGAAATTAAAAACTGTTTTTTTTTCTAATAACTCGCGTATTTGATAAGATATTAATCTCAAAATTGGTACATTACTTCAGCACAAAGAGTTACATCGTGTGAGGAAATTATAACAGAAAATAACTGTCAAATATTCAAAATACTGGGAATCAAGTACACACTTACCCCCATATTTTTTTTGTACGTGCGCTAATGACTTCCCATCTATTTTCCTTCAAGTGCACCCGGTATTTCCATATTCACTTTTCCGTACGTCCGTAGATACGCCCTCTTCCAATTTTGACGAAATAAATAGGAGTATGTGAACATTATGAGATTACCGTAAGCCGCGAGGCATCAAACAATAACCAGTACTTTTCAAATTATCTTGAAAACAAATAATTTTATCGGAATTTTACAAAAATAAAAAAATACTAAAAAATGATTGAACACTTGAAGAAAAATAGATAGGAAGTCATTAGCGCACGTACAAAAAAATATGGGGGTAAGTGTGTACTTGACACCCAGTATTTTGAATATTTGACAGTTATTTTCTGTTTTGTTTTCCTCACAAGATGCAACTCTTTGTGCTGAAGTAATGTACCAATTTTGAGATTAATATCTTATTAATCACGCGAGTAATTAGAAAAAAACAGTTTTCAATTTCCAACTTTGACACCCTGTATATCGAATAAGAAGGGCTAAAATGAAAAATGGAATTTAGAAACTCATATTATTTTTGGTCAATGAATATATGGTTAATGGATTAACCTCCTTTTAGCGGACACCCTGTATTTCAGCTAACGTTTTTTGTCTCCCTCAGTTACTCGTCGGGAGACATCACAACTTGGAGCTAAAATCTACTACTATTTCTTTTGTATAATAAATAATTATATATCGACTCATACCTAACCGTTCAAATGCTTAACCTAATATTAGGAATATTTCATGATTTCTGGCACTACATCATTATTTCTGCACCAGTGGTCAACAGTAAACTTATAGCCTCTAACAGGGTTCCTGCATTTACCCTCGAAAACGTTGCCACTAAATTTCAGTAAAATCGGAACAATAAAATATACTGGACAGAACTGTTCGGGAATATGGGAACATGCTGACAATGTGTTCAAAATTCCGCAAAAAACAAACTACAAACCCATATTGGCAGACTACTAAAATATTTTTCCGAGAATCAAGATTTAGGGCCACTTTTTAATAGTTATTTATGTATCAAGGGCGTAAAGTAGGCGTTTATGGCCTGTGGCGTGAATAATGGCCCGATGGCGGTTGCCGAAGGCCATTACACGCTGAAGGCCATAAACGCATTTCACGCACGTGATACATACAAAATTTAATGCACTAGTAGTTTATTTTCTGACTCAAAAGTAATGACTATAGATTTCGATAAACTAATATTCCCCCGAATTTAATTTTTTATCTATAAATTCAGTAATCAAGAGAAGCGTAATGTTCATGGATGATTTACTTAAAAAATTATCGTACAAATATTGCAATTATCGTAATAGTCAAACTCGTTGATCTCTAGAAGAGATTCGTTCTTCTGAATTTTACAATATGCATACCCAGTATATATACCTAATTCTGACGTTGTCAAGCAAGCTGATGGTTGTTGTCTATTGCAATGATAGCAAATATATCCAATAAACAAGCTGAATTGTCATTCTTTGACTGAAAAGTAAAAATTGGTGATAATGATAATAGCGAGACTATGGAATCGGATAAAGAAGAAGTTTATGATTTACCGCTGGATATATTAGAATTTAGGAAAATGATCATAGGTTTTTCATGAATTGATATGTGGATATAAGGAAACTGAGAACATCAGCGGGGGGTAAAGTGCACTTTACGGTCCGTGGGCCATAATGAGCCCGCGGGCGGTAAAGTTCAACTTAACGCCCGCAAAACCGGGCGGTAAAGTGCACTTTACGGCCCGCTAGTGCATAAAAAACTTTAAGACTTAAGATTTATCAACTAACATTTAAGGCTTATCACTTAGGACAGATGGAACATGGAAATATCATTGGTAATGTTATAAAACCATTTAAGACTTATGATTTAACATTAAAGATTTAAGAAGATGGCCAACTTTCAACTTGAGAAGTGCTGATAAATGATCATAAATGGAATAAGGAGTGCGCATCCAAAAGTGATATCTCAATTCCCCGCTATTCAAAGATAATTCGAAATATCTTGTGTTGTTATTCCTGAATTTTTGTTTTTCTTCTGATGGATGATACTGAACCGTTCCTCAAAAACACACTAGGATGTCGCAACTCTGTTGCCTCCCTATTTGGCAAAAGATCCAAGGAGTGAGCCAGTTTCTGTTATACAAGAAATACTGATTACTTTCAAAATGATGTGGAGATATAATGGATGTGGGTATCATTTTAGTTTAGGGATATAAATATAAATTGATAGAATGATATCAGAACATGAAATTTTGATTTCCAACCAGTTTCTAACTTACTAAACTTTGAAAATCTGGTTCTGTATCATAAACTAGATGTCATGAATGACAGAAGGCATGTATCGCCCTAGAATCTTAATTTTTTCTATAACTGAATCCACTTAAGACTCTTAAGTCTTGAATGTTTGAATGGTAGATGCTAAAAGTTTTTATAAAGTCACCCTGAGAACGAACGAATTCGTTATAACATTTCGAGTAAAAACTTGACACTGTCTATTTATGTGTATTTTCCTTTTTTTCAGAGCACGTATGGCAAGTGGTGGTCCTGAACAGAGGACTAGGTACCGGCAGGACGGGCAACTACCGTCTCTGTCTCACCGATAAGACTTTGAGTTTGATAAAGAAAGATGACACAAATTGCGTCATCCACCTCCAGCTTACCAACATCAGGAGTTGCGGCAGTTTGAAGAACTACTTTTTCCTAGAAGTGAGTATCGGCACTAGCGCCTACAGAGATAACGCAAGAAATAAAGCGCGTGGTGGGGGAACGTATTTATATGGCCTATGCGGGCAAATATGTTTGTGTCGATCAGGGTTGGCACGAATTAATTCATATGAATCAAGTCAGTGATTTAATTCGTGAATTAATTCAAATGACTTTTTTCAAATAAGTCGTGAATTAATTCAAAATTTATCAAATGGGAACAAATCGCATTATTACCTTCAATTTGAACTAGTTCAAAATGAAATATCCGATGGCAGCTGACAACTGACAACCGTGAAGCACCACACGCGGAAAACAAAACTTTCTAGGAGCCGCTTTACAGTTTACAATATTTCATTGCATGCAATTGATTGCTCCAATTCATATTTCCGGCAAAAATAATACGTAGGCTTTTCAACACTGAATCGGAAATACCGGCTTGCAATGTCTTTTTGTCATAGATTCTGTGTATTACTTCTCACCGAGTTTTGAGTTGGGTCAAGAGTTGGGTAGAAGAAACCGAGCCATGAGAAAGGCAAGAAAAGTAAGATCCAATGTGTATCTAATGATGAGTGAAATTCCGAAAAGCTAACATGTCACCACTAGAATTGCACCAGTAATACAAATCACCACGTTATAAACAAATAGGTCCGGACTCATTTCTTGCAAAGCATCGAAAAATTGTTTTCCAAGGTGGCACCAATCCGAAGGCGCGCCATGGAAATTGCTGCATTTTATTGAAAAGAACTGTAAAGCGTCTCTATAATGAAGATTGTGAATGAGTACTTTAAGTTGCATAAACATCATTTTTCATTCAATAAATAGTCTCAGTTCATATTGCATTTGTGATGTTTTTGTATTTTGTTCAAGTAAATAGAATTTGATTTGTTATCAAATGAATTAATTCAAAAAAGTCCGAATTAATTCAAAAAGTCAGACTTTTTTGACTTTTTTATAAAACTCATGACTTATTCCAACCCTGGTGTCGATGCACAACAATTTTTAGGCATCCGAAATCCATGCGGCACGCCAACGACTCGGGTTCGATCCCATGCAAGGGTCGACTTTTTTTTGTTTTCGAAAATTACACTTTTTAGGAAAAAGGTTCAGTTAGGCCGAGTTAGGTTAGATTGCTTCGAAAAGTAGTCCCATTTTTTATATAGAAACGACATTCTCCTTCTTCAAGAAATAGGTTCGTTTAGACCGGGATAGCTTAGATTGTCTAGAAAAAGGATATTTCCCTTCCTTACATTATACTCGATATTCTGTACATAAGTCAGGGGCGTCATTTCATTGTTTACCAGGGGGGGGGGGGCAAGGAATTCAGAGAAAAAAAGTTCCATGCTATAAAATGCGCCGTAGACGAATTTTTTTTGGGTTCAAGGTCAAATACCTTCAAATTGAGAATTAGAATTTTTCCAGAGTTACAACTTCATCATCCAATTAGATATTATCCAATTTCATATTCTCATTTAGTTGTAATTGATACAGAAATAATATCTGATAATAAGAACAAAAGAAGAGCAAGTGATAAGTGTTTTAAATACTTTCTGAAAGTTAACCAAAAAGTTATATGTTCATTTCTTGAGATTTTTCAACATTTTCTCCTTGTTCCTTTGGATGAGAATCTGAGTATCATTTCAATACATTTATAGTGAGGGCAAACAAGGTGTCACTAATTATTAGTAAGAGATTTTTCATCCATATTTATGAAAGTAACTTTTTTCCAACACAGAGACATTTTTGGTTTCTGAATTTTGTGTTCACTACAAATATATTGAAATAACACTTATATTTCATTTTGATGTGAAGTATTTTGATAACAAAAAACTAAAATAAGGAAATTTCAAATGTATATGAGTGAATTGAAAAATATGTCAATGTGGTTGAAGTAATGTAAATAATTATTGATTGAGTAGTATTAATGATTTTCATCAAGCAAGGGAAAGACTCATTTCTCAATTCTGCGGAATTATTCAGAGATTTCCTGATTCATTTCAATATTTTCGTCTCATACCATTCAAAATTTATCACTGAAAACAGCTAATAAGTTAGGTACTCATCAGTCTATTGTCCCTGGTAGGAATCGCAGTATAGGTCCACTAGATGGAAAATAATCTTTAATAGCGATTTATTTTGTAGATATTTTTGTATGACTGGATGGGGCGCCAGTTTTTAGATCTCAAGAAATTGGTTCCTTCTTCAGGTATATTTTATGTTCGAATATTTTTAAATAATAGATATTCTTCAATTTTGAGTACCTATACCATAGATTAAAGAATCCCCTATACTGTTCTGCTTCCGATCTGTTTGCTCCCCTCCCTGCCCCTCCCCTTAATGACGCCGATGACATAGGTTAGTCGGAATTACAACGGCCAAGTGAGCAACGCAGCAACGGGAAAGGAAACGCTAGTCGCTTCTAATGCAATGCAACATTCCCCCACCACGCGCTTCATTTCTTGCATTCTCTCTGCAGCAAGTGCTGTCAACGAATTATTGTATGGTCTCTGAGTAGCAATGTAGAGGGTAGTTGGCTTCTTCCTGACAGGTTATGGATCAGTTTTATTATATTAAACATTGAAATTTCTCAAATATAGCTCGATCCTAAACGAAAGAAATATTGAATCAATGAAACAATGAATCACTATCGGCCATATTTAATGATACTACGCTTCCGCATCAGGTCAGAACAGAATGAAGCCGACACCCATGGCTCCTTCCTGGTCCGAAACGCTCGTCTGTTTGCAGTTGCCCTTGTCGTGTGACAACTGACATGTAGTTCACAAGTGACGCGAGTGTTTGGATGACTAACTGACAATTGAGTATTGACAGGTGTTGAAGTTGTTGATCCGATAACCTAAAACCACCGACATAAACTACTATTCAGCACCTGTCATATGTCTTACTACTCTTATTCACGCTTACTTATGTTTCTAAACAAATCCAAGCACCATTATGGTCAGTTCATAAAAATTATTTATATTTAATTTACGTTTAATTTATATTTAATTTAGCACTGATAACATAGCCAACTTTTCATTGCAATAAATTAAATTGAACTGAGCATGCGCCCGTTGTGGTCATTTGTTACCAACATCGAATAACAACTAAAAAAAAAAACATTGAAAATAAGATGTGCATTGAGCATTAGCGTCAGTTGTACCAATCTAAAAATCTGAAAATAACCATATTTATGTTTCTGCGCATGCGTAAGTATTTCTTGAATGCATTTCTATGAACGAGTCAAACTCGCTTACGATAAAATTAAATTGAACTAAATATAAATTAAATGTAAGATATTTCTATGAACCGACCATAAGAGACAATCGACAGTGTCAGCCAGTTTTGGGTGCGTCAAAGAAATATAAAATGAAACATTATTTACAGTAATTTACATGATTGTGTTACAAGGTAGTCAGTATGCTTTATGAAGAAGAAAGATTTTGAGTTCCTTTCCAAGTTTTTTTCTGAAATGTTCAGGTGATTTGTTCCAAATATTATTCTTCTCTTTGGGTTTATTGGATTTCTTCTTTGGGTAACAATTTCTCAAGATCAGGTAATTTATTTTTGTTCAAGAATAATTACTTGGTTATGTAATAATATTATCACTGGACTCCCCACATAAGACACTGATTGTGTACATTTTTTGTATATAATATAAACATAGGTATATGACAGGTCCTAAATGCCCATGATTCATGTTGTCAACCAAGCTTGATTTCATAAAGAAATCTCAATAAATTCCAAGGTATTCCATTTAATTCCGAGATTAATCCTGAAGAATTCCGAAAAATTGATCTGTGCCAAGGATCATTCCTCCGGTTTTTTTTTTCAGCTTCTCCAAGCTAATCTCAGGTAATTCCAAAGAATCTAAAGAAATGTCTAAGAACTCAATAAACTCCTTGCAAAATTCTAAGTTGAACAGGGTGTTCCGAAATTACATAGACAGATCACAACCACAGATCTCAACCGCAGAACAAACAAAAAAGTTCTGCGGAGAAACGAGGTCTGGGTCAGCTGAATCATTTTGGAAGACGTTGTGGAGTATTTACAAGAATTTTATTTCATCATTTCACGTCCACGTGTCCGATTTCCTCGTTCATTAATCAGTTAGTTTTCCAGAATTACAGTTTAATTCTTACATATATACATTTTATTACTCACTTAAAGAACACCACCACTCAAAGAACACCAATAAACATTTATTCAACAAATAAATGTTAATACTGTAATTTCTTAAAGGCTCATTAATGGTGACACTTTGTCTATTTTCGGTGATAGTCCAGCGAGAAAAGAAATCCTTCCTAGCAACCAAAATCCCGAGGAACCACAAAAAAACCAGAATCAAAAGATAAGACTACAGGGATGGTATTAAAAAAAAACACGCAAGATATTACCAATTCAAATGGGAAACGCAAGTGTCGTTGGTTGCAGAATCTTCAATAGGGAAATAATAAATCTATGAACAAACCTAGGCACATGCAACCAGCAATACAGGACGACTTCACAGGTTGCAAGTTGTCTTCAAATAACCCAAATTACACTAATTGATAAATGCACATAAATATTTAGTAACAAAATAGTGATTACTGGAGGAACACTCAAACAGTAGGCAAATGAAATGAGGAAATAAAATTCTTTTTTTATTAAATGAACTTTAGGAACAACAAATCCAATTCTTGCAGATACTATAGTGATGAGAGGTTTCAGCACAGTTCATACAAAAATAGGTCAAAAAAATGGCCCTGGTCAAACTGTCGAAAATTACATAAACAAAAAAGTTGGGAGAAAAAGAATCTGTTGTTGGGTAAATTCGGGACACCATGTATGTACCAATTTCAAAATGATCATGAATCTTCAGGAATATTCTAAGGGAATTCAAATGTTGATATTCAGTTCAATTATGTAGTCAAAATCAATTTTTTCATTCCATGAAATGAGTTCACATTGTTTGCTTATTGTAGTTGAAAAAAAAAAACTAATTTTCTTGACATTTCTTCTTAGATCGGTCGATCCAGCTTATTGGGAGCAGGGGAGGTTTGGATGGAATCGGAAGATACCAATATAGCCCAGAACATCCACACAACGATATTCCAGTGAGTATAGAAAGTCTTGTTGAAAAGGCAGGTTTTATAGGTTTTCGAAAACCCACTCAAAAACCCTTGGTGGTGCCAGCAAAGGTCAACTCTATATTGAAATTCGTGCTACAAGTATTTTTTCATATCTTATACCACAAGTGATACTATTTTGCTGGAAATATTCGGCGACAGGTTAATGCCAAATAATTTCATGAACAATGTTTATTATCAAAACTTTTGATCCATATACAGGGTGTCCGGAAATTATGCGCGAAAAATCAAGGGGGTGATTTTGCATGAGACAACATAAAATTTATTTCATATATACTTGGGTCCGGAAATAGTTTAGCATAGTATTTGAGATACAGTGTGTTGAACTGTTTAGTAAAATCGTTTTTTTTATGAATATCTCAAATATCTTTCCACCGATTCTCTTGAAATTTGGCAATGATATTCTATCTATGTCACGAGGGGCTGATTTGGCCTGGTTTATTTTAAATTGGAATTGTGAAATCCAGTGGCGTCCCGGGGGCACCCTTCCGAATATTATTGTTAATAAAATGTGCGCCATTGATTTTTTTGAATTCTATATATCTTCATATCCTGATGATTAACTAAAAATACAACAATTTGGTCTCTTGAATTGTTCTGCTATTTTGCTGCCTTTCCGTGGAAAAAAATAAATACCAATTCATTGTATACATTTGTGCAAAACATTGCTTCAAAAACAGGGATGAAATTAAATGTGTGATCCATGTCCATAGACGTAGAATAAGAATGAAGATTTATTTTCTTCAAATATTGTATAACACATGTTTGACACCCTTTTTATTATCGAAAACTAATCCTTCCTGGACCGACAATACAGAGTGTAGAGTGTGTCAAACATATATCAACTAATATTTGAAGAAAATGAATCTTCATACTTATTCTATGTCTATGGACATTGATCACGCATTTATTTTCACCCCAATCTCTGAAGGAATTTTTTGGCACTTTATGCAATAAATTGGTACAAATTGGTAATTATTATTTTCCATGGAAATGATGCGAATTATCAAAATAACTCAAGAGACCAAAATGTTGTATTTTTAGTTGGTCAATAGGTTATGTAGATACAGAATTCAAAAAAATCAGTGGCGCACATTTTATTGACAATAATATTTGGTAGGTTGCCCCCCGGGACGGCACTGGATTTAATAATTCCAATTGAATTATGGGTTTATCAGCCCCTTATGACAAAAAATTACATTGCCAAATTTCAAGAAAATCGGTGGAAGGAAATTTGAGAAATTCATAAAAAACCCATCTTCTTCATAAGTTTTAATACACTGTATGTTGAAAACTGTGCATTTTCGGAACCACATACATACATATAAAAATGAATTTCTTATTTTATCATGTAGAATCACTCCCTTAATTGATTTTTCGCGCATAATTTCCGGACACCCTGTATAGCCGGGAAGTTTTAGAACGTCATGAGCAAAATTAAAGCAGCAAGCTGGAGTATATCAATTGACGGGAAAAATAGTACCAGGAGTTTTATTCATATGAAAATTCCATACCAGTCATTTTCAACCAATCAGAAGCTTTATTTTGTCATTGTTACTATGGTAACCAGCAAATTTTTCGAATTTTGTTTCAACCACATGAGCATGTTGACATAAGATTAATAAGTGTACATCTTCTGGCACATGACAGCTATCATATAATTAGACAAAATTGAAATAATTTTAACAATATTTTTTAGTTTCTGGAAACCTAATAAGAAAATCATGAAATCATTTATTTTTATATAATAATGTATCTTATACTATACATTATATTTTACACAGGGAGAGTAAATATTCACTTAATATTTTCTTTCTAAATTTAATTCCCCTATAAAATTTTCTTACCGAATCTCCCACGTGCATGAATTAATGCCGGGAAATTTGTCTCGTACTCAAAAAATTTCCGGCAATAATTCATTCTCTAGAGGGATTATAAGTGATAATTTTTCATTTTCATCACTCAAACTATTTTATTTGGGGCAAAATCATTCAAACGAACTGAAATAGATGAAATCAATCAATCAATCCGTTTGTTTTCATATTTTTGCCAAATAAAGAAGTTTTCATAGAAAATTTAAAAAATCAATAAAACTCGACTGGTGGTATTTCTTTTGAACATTTTCATGTTGTTATTTTGAAGTAATACCGAGAGTGATACAAACACAAACCGGTTTTCCCTCAGAGTTCGGTACATTTTTCGAATACTTATTGAAATTAACAATATTTCATAGCAGAAAAAGGCGGGAGAACGTGAAGTTAATTATGACTAATCCAATGTACCCATATATGACAAATCAAAAATACTTATTTATGATTGTCATTTCCCATCATAAACCTATCGCCTATATGATATCATAACGAAAACAGGAAATGCTGAAGTAAGTTAGGTACGTAAATAATGATTTAATGATCATAAATATTTTTTTATTACAGAGTGAACTTCGATTATTTTTCCTTCAAAATTCAGTTACCTATCAGTTGTGTAAATCAAAACTATTGTCTAGGAGTATGGCGAGATGAAGTAGTTCAATACACACAAGAAAATCTAATCAAACTTATTCATGAAAGATCATTTCTGACTTTCTGACTATCCTTTCCTCCACAAATAGTTTTTTTTTACCAGACAAGGAAAACGAACAGCAACATAAACAGCAACAAGTTGTAAACATATAGGATTTATAAATTTTTGGGATTACAAAGAATCGAAAAAAATATTAATAATAGGGTGTTCTATCTGGAAAAATAGATTTGTGGTTTGCCACGCTTGTAGGGATCACCCTGCACAATGTGTGATGAGGGCCGTAAAAAGGTCCTTGTTTAAGGCGTTTGGTGTTTTTTCTTGGTGAAAGAACAGTAATAAGCATCAGTGTCTTTCAGAAAGTTGTTATCATATGGGAAAAACTATTTCATTTTGAAATCCGACTTTTGCTTTGAAAAAGATGGAAAATGGCCTACTCAATCGGGGTCACGAGACCTTCGCTACCTGTCAAAAGTTACATTTTTTCAAATTAATCGCTGAAAACAGGCTTATTTGTTTGTAGTTTTCGGAGAAAAATTGTTTCTATTCCGACTTTACACATGGGTCTTAAATTTGAACGTCCTAATGCAATGTTTTGCTTTTGATATGTTTTTAATCACTACGAAATTTTTGTTTAATAACATTGAAAAAAATGTAACTTTCAGTACAAAAATGATAGAAAGGGCATCAATCAAAAAATCATCAAATTACCTACTTTGCATATCTAACCAAAGTTTAGACTTTTACCTCCATTTGTAGGAATAAATCAATCTTAAATTTAATTGCTACTGGCCCAGCTACAGCTATGAAACGTCTTTGACATTGAAGCAGGACTATTATTTTCTAAAGAACATCATATTTTTGTCAATATTTAGTATTATAATGAAGCAAATTATTTAAACAGTTCTGTCGAGATTAACTTTTTTTTTCAATATGACAAAAATTTCATAGAAGTTTAAGAAATATTAAAAAGTAAAAGTGATAATAGTAGTAGTAGTAGTAGTAGTAGTTTATTCTGTGTGATAAAATAATTATATACATTCGTCAGGCACAATATACAATACAACATACAATACACATCAATAAAAAGTAAAATCAAACAATATATACAATCACTGATAATACATAAATTATTCTTAAAAGCATACATTGAAATGTTTATAAAATTCTTCCATATCATAGAACACATTTTCTCTCAGAAAATGTTTACAATGATTTGTAAACTTTTCCAAATTTAATTCTCTCCATTCTTCTGGCAGACTGTTGAAACATTTGAGGGACTGGTATTTGTAGGATTTTGAATTTTTGTCGAGTCTAAAAAGTGGCATTTGGTAGGGTCTGTGTCTTGTTTCGTACCTGTCTTGTCTAAATAATGATGATTGATTCTCTTTTGCAAATTTTAGAGCTTCCAGAATGTTCAAATCAGAGAAACCTGTGTGAAATCAGTAGCTATTTTCAAATTCAAACAAATAAGCTTGTTTTCAGTGATTAATTTGAAAAAAATCAACTTCTGACATGTTGTGAATGCCTGACCTTGACCAAGTAGACCAGTGTTAATCTTTTTTCAAAGCAAAATGCCCAAGTCGAATTCCAAAATAAAATTATTATTACAATTTTTCCCATTATAATGACAACTTTCTGAAATACACTGTTGTAGATGGATAACCTTATATAACTTGTATTCGTATTTGGTATTTTGGAATTATAACTTTCCATTGTAGTATTCTATATTAATTTTCGAGAACTTCACCACCCTGTATCTCAGAAGTTGGGACGTTTAGGTCATACGTTCATATGGAACTTTCTTCTTAGAATAGGCTCAGAATCGCCTCCCCAAATATTGACATCCATTTTCTGCCCTTGTGACACAATATACTATTATCATTATACAAGGTAGGTACTTGAATTTGTTTTGTCTGTTTCAATCTAAAATACATACAAATATCGGAAAATACTTTTGAAAAGACTTCTCATATTGCATAAAATAATCTACAGCAACTAAAATGAATTTGAATAATCCATACTAGTGAGACTGTTGAGTAGTTTTACTTTTCCACACTTAGTGCGGAAAAAATTCTTATATGCACGGCGTGCAGAAAAGTGTGACTTTGCAAACGCAAAACAGTGCAGAAAAGTTCTACTTTGCGCACGCTCGCAGGAACATTCTTTTTCTACCACTAGCTATACAACCTACCATTATTTACAACTTTTCAAGGCGAAAAGTGTGTTTTTTCTACCACTCGGCTTCGCCTCGCAAACGCAAAATTCGCTTGTCAAACAAAGTGTCACTTTTGATCATAATAAAACAATCTACTATTTTCCACCACTACCTTTCGAGGCGTGAAGTGTGACTTTTCTACCAAGGTAGTTTTCGTCATTTTATCAACTACTAGTCAATAAAGACACTGTTCTGACTATAGATTCGCATGAATAGCACTCGAATCTAG